CTCCCGGAGTGCTCCTGTCGTCGAGCTTGCTGATGTGGCCAAGCTCCTTGGCGAACGCGAGGCAGCCGAAGACCCGCAAGTGGGAGACCGCCGGCTTGCGCTCATGCCAAGCCTCGTATGGCGTCTTGCCGTCGAGCGCCTTGGTAGGCGAGCGGTTGAGGATGTAGACGGCCGACACCACCTCCTCTATCCAGAAGACAGCCGGCATCCCCCTCTGCTTGAGAAGGGCCCGAGCCATCCCCACAACCGTCTGGTTGCGCCGCTCGACGACGCCGTTCCGCTGCGGGCTGTACGGTGCGGAGTAGTGGCGTTGAATGCCCTTATCAGCGCAGTACGACGCGAATTCAGCCGCCGTGAATTCGTTGTCGGTGCGCAGCACGTGCAGCTTGCGGCCGCACTTCGCCTCCGCAGCCTCTCCCTTGCTGCCGAGGACCATCACCCACATGTAGCGGGAGAGGTCGTCGACGAGCAGCAGGAAATAGCGTCGTCCTCCCGTTGTGGCCGGTGTTACCGGGCCACACAAGTCCCCGTGCACAAGCTCGAGCCTCTCCTTGGCTCGAAAGCTCACCCGCTGGGGAAAGGGGAGTCGCCTCTGCTTCGTCAACATGCAGACGTTGCAGAGCAGCTCCACATGGTCGAGGCACGGCAGGCCTCGCACCATCTCTGTGGCACTGAGCCGCTTCAGGGCCTCAAAGTGAAGGTGCCCGAAGCGCTCGTGCCACTGCCACGCCTCGTCATCCCGACGAGTAGCGAGACAGAGGGGTTGTGCCATCTGCACGTTAAGGACGTAGAGTCGATTTGCGCTTCTGGTTATCTTGGCAAGAAGGCGACGACGGCGATCCCAAATCCTCATCACTCCATCCTCAACCACCACGCGCGAACCGTTCTCATCCAGCTGTTCCAAGCTGATGATAGAGTTCCTCAACGCGGGGATGTAGTAGACTCCGGTGAGTAGCCTGTGCTCACCAGACACGGCGGTGAAGATGACGGAGCCGACGCCCTTGATCTCCACGCCGGAGGCATCCCCAAACTTAACGGAGCCTCGGACGCTAGAGTCAAGCTCGGTGAAGAACTCCCGTCGACCGGTCATGTGATGGGTGGCGCCGGTGTCGAGGCACCACCCGTTAGTCTTGTCGTTGCCGGAGCCGTCGCCGAGGAGGGCGTGTGCTTTTGGCTCGTCAAGGTGGAGGAGAGCCGCTACGGCCGGTGCCGCTGGAGGTAGCTCGATGCTTGCATGTGCCATGAACAGAGCCGGCTCCTCCTCCGCCTGTGCGACGTGGGCCTGGCCGCGTCGTGGCTGTCGACAGTCCTTGGCCCAATGACCAAGCTGGCCGCAGTTGCGGCAGGTGTCGTCTCGTGCCGGCTTGTGCTTGCCGGCGGCGCCGCCCTGGGCGCCTCTGCGGGCATCACCCTCGGCACGTCCTCGCGCCCCGGCCTGGGCGTCTCTGCGCGGCTTGCCACGCTTGCGGCCGCCTGTCGCGGAAGAAGGCTCCCCCTTCTTCCGGTCACCTTGGCAGGCAGCTCACTGCTCCCAAGTGAGAAGGAGCTTCCCACCAGTGGTGATGGGCCCCGAGAGAGACTGTGGCTCATCGCTGTCGACGACCTTGAGGCGACCTATCGCCTCCTCGATCGACATCGTGGAGAGATCCAGCAGGGACTTGATCGAGCGAGCCATTTGCTTGTACTTCTCGGGGACGCAGCAGAAGAGCTTTTCGACAGCTCTCTCCTCGCCGTAGGTGTCATCGCCGAACTGCACCATCTTCTGCAACAGAGTGTTGAGACGGAGGGCAAAGTCACCAACGTCCTCACCTGGCTTGAAGGCCAGGTTCTCCCACTCCTTGCGAAGTGCCTGCAGTGTGGTCTTGCGGGTGCGGTCGCTGCCAATGCGTGCCGCAGCGATGGCGTCCCAAGCCTCCTTGGCAGTCCGTTTGTTGGTAAGCGAGAACTGCATCTCGGACGGGACTGCAGCGATGAGGGCATCCAGTGCCCGTCGATCCTGGTCGTAGTCGACGTCGCCGTACCGGACTGCCTCCCACATGTGCCGCACCTGAAGCTTTACCCTCATCACCGCAGCCCACTCGACGTAGTTGGTCTTAGTGAGGGTAGGCCACTCACCACCGGGGCCGACGTCCCTGACAACAGCCTGGAGCCCGTGGTAACCACGGTACCGATCCGGGGAGGGAGAGCCACGCTGCCTGTGAAGGCCGTGCTCTCCATCGACCCGTCCGCCACCGTTGCCGTGCGCGCCTCCTCCAGGAGCGCCGCCAGCGCGTCCGCGCCTGTCTGGGCTGCCGCCGCGCTCGTGGGCGTGCGCGGCTGCCCACTGTGCCGCCCGCGCTCGCGCTGCCTCCCTCCCCAACAGCTCGAGGTCCGCGTCGGCGCTGTTGTCAGCGGAAACGGAGCTGCTGATGCTGCCGCGCAGAGCCTCGACCTCGGCTGCCGCCGCACGCGCTGCATCCGCCGCCACTTCCGCCTCCGCTCTGGCTGCTGCCAGCTTTGCCGCTGCCAGCCTCGACGCCCTTGCCGCCGCCGCAGCGGTCTCTGCCGCCGCTCGCTCGCGTTCCTCTGCCGCGGGAAGTTCGGCCTCCTGCCGACGCCGCGTGCTCGAGGCGACCGAGCGCTGAGACTGTTCTGCGGACATGACGCGCTACCGAGGGGCTGTTGCGTGGGGAGAGGGCTGCTTCAGATGAGCTGCGCAGAGGGAGAGGAGTGAGCAGGAGCGGCCGGAGCTGCTGCTGCTCTCAGCTGGGGCTGTTGCGAGGCTGGGAAAGGAGATGAGCAGGAGATGCTCAGGCTATAGGATAGTACGGCTCTGATACCACTTGTTAGTCGCTGATCGAGAGAGGATGACACTAGGAGTTGGGGCAATTTTCTGGTTTATTTTTCACACAAATGCCATGCCAACCTGAGGGGTTGGGGATACATATTTATAGGCTGCTAGCCAACCAAGCATATGCCAAGATGCTAAGATGCTGTCCTAGCCAGTCAAGGATGCTGTCCTTGATGGGCAGCAAGACCATCATGCTGCCACAAGGACCATATGCTGCAGCCCCACAAGGACCAGCCAACACAGAGACTTATCCATCAAAATCGCGAGGACGGCGTGGTGACGGACTCCAGATCGGAGTAGAGTCCGAGTCAGGGACGAGTGGAGGTAGGAGATGACGCCGCTGGCGCGTGGGCCCGGTGCAGCGGTGAAAGCAAGGGCGGGTCCCGGCGGTCAGCTGCACAAGAGAGGAAAGGGGGGCGCCTGCACTAAGCTGGGTCGGCCCATGGCGGGTGCGCGGGCCTGCGGGGAAAGGAAGGCGGCCAGCTGGGCCAACAGGCCGAGAAGGAGAATTGGGGGAGAGTTGGGCCTCGCCTTTGGGTGGCTGGGCCGCTCGGGCCAAAAGCCGAGAAAGGAGGGAGAGTGAGGAAAAATTCCTTTTCTTTTTCTTAAACATATTTCCAAAACCAAATTCAACTCAAATTTAAATCCTTTTGCAGTTTTGATCAAACCCAAGCATCACAAAAATAAATATGCATCAGCATGAATGCACAAACATATAGCTAGACCTTATAGTTGATTTTAATTTAACAAAAGTTATTATTTCTCTAAGTTTTAATGCTCACAAAAATGCATAAATAAATCAAATTAACCTATTTTTAAATGAGGCAAATTTTAGGGTGTTACATGCTCGAAGATAGTGTAAGTACCTCTCTAAAGGGTTTGGTACTCCTCTTTTTAAGACAAGTCTGGGGGGCATCTTCCTATGCCAAATTCTTTTAGAATCATCAATAAAACAAGCGACTGTTCTAATGTAATTCATGTTTTTTTCTTCGTAGAGTTGAACATTTGTAGGGAATTAAGCATTATCCTCTGGGAGTTACCACACCCTCTGATCACCAATGCATGTCATTTTACGATTTGCCGGTCGAACCTTTTTAACACTTTGACCATGAATACATAAGAATTATGTGTATTGACAAAGTAAAGTATCGTTTACTAGGTTCATCATGGATAATACTTTATTTGCTCATCTATGTTTGAAATATCATATTCTTATATAAATTACTAGTCAAAGTGTTTGCTTGTACACCATGTCAATGCCCTAAGCATCATGCATTAGTGAACTAAGGCGTGGCAGTTGCATACATATATATACTTACAAAAGTGCAGTTGTATAAATGCCTGTGTGGTGCCAATCAACTTTACTTTAGCTAGATCATCAATCAACTACACACACTCCTCTACTGTCTACTGTTGCTGACCATTTTGCTTCTCAAACAAAAAGGCAAGGGGCTAACCTATATGTTAGCAGTAACTACTACTCATGCTAATGAAGCTGGTTGAACACAGGGATTACTTATCTATCAATTACTGAAGCTTTCTGGGTTGTGAATATTGTTCTTCTCGAACAACACAGGAGGGCTTCATGTCATTTCACTAAGAAGAGATCTAAAAATAAAAAGTAGAGGCCAAAGTGCCTATTCCCGACACACCCCGCACAAACCCAGAAGAAAAAAAAGAATTTCATATGTGCCACGCTCTAGAGATAACAACCACGACCAATCGATCTCCCTAAAATGGACTAAGAGTCCGGGGTGAGTGACTTAAGGAGTAGCTCATGGAGCGCGGAAGCTCTAGACAAGCACCACAAACTACTTTTACTGGCCACCGTTTCCGGAATCACTTGAACACTTGGGCTTTCCCCTTTAAACACATGTATTCCTGTGCTTCCAATGTTCCCAGGTGACTAGAATGATGAAACAGTTAAAAGCTTTTATCATGTCCTTAGGAACCCCTGATAGCACTGCCCCACCAGCTAGGCAGCTAGAGAAACAAGATGCCGATAAACCAGTTGCAAGTCTCAATTTTGTTTAATTTCTGCAATCTTCTGTGAGAACTAAAGCTGACTGGGTCTTGCAAGTCAGCAAGTGTGTATGTTCTTTGTTTTGCTTACCTTTAGAAACCTGTTTCCTACCTTCTGATATTTTTTTACTTATTGTGCATGCTCCAGTTGCTTAAGAGCTTTGCAGAATGGTGATTCTGAGGAGTTCCATGCAAAACTTAGTCTAACCAAGATGGTATTGTTCACAGCCACTTTTGTAGTCACTTTCACTAGTGAAATTCTGTTAATGTTATTTTGAAATATTTACTTGTCCTCTTCTAGGATCTTGTCTTGGCTTTGTCAAACACTAGCAAGGAGAGCACGAAATACATCCACTCTACCATCCTTAAATTACAGGTGATGACTTCTTATCTTATGATGGTCTACATGTTGGTGGATCAGTCAGGTGCCTTATCCCTTGCTTTGGTACCTACAGATTCTAGATCATGCTACTATGGTTTGGGACCTGCGTTGGAACCTTAATCCCAATCAAACGTCAAAATCTCCCATAACCAAGGAATTTTCTCACATATCTTCTGTCCCTACAGGGATACAGGTTCTGCACACATCTCTCTTGCCAGTTCTATCATTCTGTTTCAGATGCATGCAATTCAGGAACTTTGGATATGTGTCAATTTGCATGATATTTTTGTATTGATGTGTTGAGAATCTGGAGATGGGACATATATTCAGTTAGACATAACAGTTAACGTTCCGTGCCATTTTTTTATATTGGTTCATTCTCATGAGCTGCTTAATTTTTATGCTCGAGATGCTGTTCATTTGGCCAAATACCACTACAACACCTTTTCCTTTGTAGAAAGAAATATATTGTACAACTGCACAGCAATGTGAAGTCTTTTACTCTATACCATTGTTAATTGTTTTTGTTCCTTGTTGGCTAATATCTCCTTACTTTTTTCTGTGCAGTTGGAGCTGCTGGATAAAGAGTGGAACTTAATTGTGTTCCAAGCAGAACGGAACCTTGATCTTTTTGAACCTTTTCTGGCATTTAGGCGTGCCCTCCTTAGGATTTTAGGTTGTGAAGAACATCTTGTAAAACATTTATTTCAATCTACTTCTGCGCTCCGGAAGGTGATTGTGTTGTTTTCAGCTGTGTCCCTGTTTCACACTATATTCCTTATTTCACTATGATTATTTTCTTGGATACAGGGATTAAGGTTTTCTTTGGCAGCGGCAGCTTTATATGAACTCAAGGAACTTTGTTTACACAGAGATGAGGGCACTATGCCAAATACCTATTTCCTTTCACGGGTACATACTTTACAATTGAGTTATCCAAGTGTTGATTTTAGGAAGAAGTCTATTTTTGGCCATCAAACTACAGCTATCTCCCAAGCCCTATTTTGGCCATGAAACTCCAAAACTATCTTTGCCCATCGAACTATCAAAACCAGACAACTTTGGCCATAAGGCTGGTTTCAAAGGTGGCTTTGCCTATATATGTTTTTTTAAAGATAATGGAAATATGATTAAATCTCTAAAAATGATAACTAATTTGTTCGGTTCTGATAGTGTTTTTTTAGCAGAAAATACAGCAGGGGAGGCCCCCACTGTAGGGATTATATTAAACAAAAACAAAGACTGTACAAAGAAGCCTCAGAAGAGAGGCAAAAAAACACCAAAAAACAAGCTCAAGACAAAAAAAAACTATACTAAGGCATCTATACACAACAGATATTCTGGGCACTTTTGCTCACTAAATCTGTGTGCCTGAAGACTAGCCTCTTCAAAGAAGGAACTTTTCCAGGAATCAAAAGACGGACGGCCTCTGTCAAAGATGAAATTATTTCTTTGCTTCCAAATTTGCCAAGCAGCTATGATGAATATCTCCATAAAGAAGGGGCTTTGGTATTGGATCTTAGCAAGATGCATCATTTGGAAGAACTCTTTTGTGAGATCCCAACTAATTCCAAGATATTGCCAACATGCTTGACTGAAAGGGCAGTTGAAGAACAGATGAAGCGCAGACTCCTCAATGCTGTTGTTGCAGAGAACACAGTTGTAATTATTTCCTTGGAGCTTTTGTTTCTTCCTTCTTAGGATATTCCTCGATAGTTTGATGGCCAAAGATATCCGGTTTTGGAATTTGATGGCCAGCTAGATGGTACCCCGCGTGTTGCTATGGAAATTTTGTAGTTTTGTATAGGAAAAGCATTCATGGTGTAAGACATTATAGATCTCTTCTTATATTGATGGGCAGCAGAGACAATTCATTGGGATCTGATAATCCACATAGAACCCCCTACTTAATTATTATTACATTAATAAGAGTTCTACTTTTTCTCAAGTAAAAGCTATAGTCGTACAGTAGTTTCATTGCTGAGACATCTCATCAAGCATATGGTGTGTACATGAGAAAAAAGTACTGCTGACTATGTATTATATTCCTGGAAATCAACAAATTTTGTGTTAATACGGAACCCTTAGGAGGGAGGGAGAGAATCCAAAATAACACTGCTTGTTTGACACGGACGGCAGTGGTAGCCACTTGACCTGAGCGGCGATTATGAGGAATAGAGATCAGCTATTCGCAGGCGAAAGGCTAGTGAATCCAGAGGATTAAACTGGGGACTTGTGATGGTCAGTGGTTCCACGGAGAGCATGTCGTGGCCTTCCTCCCTGACCAACACGATCTCAGGCTTGAGGTCCCGGTACACCACGTCCAGGATGCGCAGGTACTCAAGCGCAAGCAGCACTGATGTATGCAACCTGCACCAAGTTTAATTTTGTCACCATTTATTAATTTGTCAAACAGGCATCATTCAGATCATTTTATTTTAACGATTCAAAAGATACATTAAAAATTGATTTTTCTCCTTCCTCGCTCACTGGTGAAGTGATGAGAATGAGATGATGAGTTGTTACCTGGCTGCGTCCTCGGTGAATCGCTTGTTGGGCTGCTGCTGGTGGAGCGAGCAGAGGTTGCTGCTGCAGCAGTGCTTCATGAGGAGGCAGCAGAACTTGTCAGTCTATCTTGAACTCTTGGTAAGTGGGAGGACGCAGTGGCGAGTTGGGAGTGCAAGAGGCAGGAGGTGAAGCGCAAGGGACAAGCAGTGGCCAATAAGTAGGGACATGCAGTGGTTAATAAGTGAGGGATCAGTGGAAGGCTGGAAGGTAGGCCTGTGACGTGGATGGATGAGAAGCCAGGAAAATCTTGTAGTGGGGGGTCTCTTATTTAGGTATAGAAGATAGAAGATGTCGGACTCAGTCAATAGTTCGATGGCCAAAAATAGATTTCTTCCTTGATTTTATTGCACTATTATTTGATTTGTCCAAGGTCCATATTGATAATATGTTTAAGCAGGCTTATGTAGCTATTTGATTTTGGTAAACTATTCTTATCGCCCTCTAGCATTGTGAGAAATTTTGTTGTAAATGGAGTTCTCATGTGTGCTTCTTATACAGTCTCCTATGTTATGGTTCTGTCAGTTCAAGTACAATGTTCTAAAATTCCCTCTGGTTTATTTTCTAGGCTTACTAAATTTTCAATATTTTACCAAATGCATGGAGTTGATGTTATTTTCTTCATTTTGTCATCTTTTGTTTCATTCTTTCTCCTAAGTGTTTATACATTTATTAGTTCTTACCTTTCCAATAAAGAGATATATGGTACTCGATTACCCAAGAGTTTCTTAACCTTAGTGTATCGTCAAAATTTTGTTATGGTCAATAAATTCATGCAACAATCTCGAGGTAGTTGTCTATGTCGTCCATACTACACACTTTTAGGTTTTTGTTATCCCAGGGTTTTGTCAATGAGATAGCTTTTTCATTTTAAGGTTCCATATGGAACAGCTTTTGTTTATAGGAATTAAAGGGGAACTGCTTTGCTCCTACCAGAATCTTGTGTAGTTCCGGCCTTCTAGATGGAATGTAGTTCCAGATTAATAATCATAGAATTGTATTGCTACAATGCTACCATAATCCATGTATTAGAGTAGGGGTTTATAATGAGCCAACTGCACTTTTTTCAAGCTTTCTTTGAAATTGACATAATCTTATTTATTATGGTCTCCTGAATTATTTGAGACCGAACTTCAAACCGAGCTTAACGAGCCAAGCCGAAGTCAAAAGTCCCTCAAAATCTACTCATTTTTATTTTAAATGAAAAATGAGTTCAATTGGAGATTTTTAAAACAAGCCACCGAGCCAGCTCAACAAGCTTTTTGTCCAGCCGACAGATCATTACAAAGTTTTGAGAATAGGTTGAGCAGCGCTTTTGATTATTCTGTAGTAACAATAGTGCAACATGTTTGATTTTGGAAATATTCCAATCTGAGCTTTATTTGAGCTGATATAGTCGCTGTTTTACTAATCTGCCTTTCCCAATTTCAGTTTTTGCTTAAGCAAGAACTTGCCTGAAGACCAAAGTTGATATCCTCTCAGTTGTGTTAATATTGCAGCATATTTGTGCTTATAAATCTCCTGTTTGTAACCTATGATCAATTGGTGTTCATGTTCTGATATTTCTACATTTGCTCTCCAGCTTGAAGAGGCTAAATTGCTCAGAGCTCAAGGGCAGCATGATATGGCTATTAGTCTTGGAAAATACATACTACAGAAGCATTCTGACAAGAAAAACCTGTCAGATGTCTATCGATTAGTTGGCAAGTGGCTGGCTGAAACAAGATCAAGCAAGTAATCATTCACACCCGGTACCTCATATTTTGTCTGTCATGAATTACTTCCATTTTGTCACATGTAATAATGCAAATGTTCATGATGGTTACTTTGTAGCTCAAGAACTATCATTGAGGACTATTTAAGACCTTCTGTAGATCTCTCTGAATTTGAGAAGAGTACAGATAAAAGGTACATGTCCAGGCAGTGTCGAACACATTTCCATCTGGCACATTATACATATAGTTTGTTCAGAAGCTACGAGGAAAGACTCTCATCCAACGAATGGCAAGCAGCTCTGCGATTAAGGAAATACAAGGTCACTTATTATTATGGCAATTCCAATCAATGTTTGACTTGAAACTGTAGTTCTTTTACCAGAAGTTCTATTTAATGCAGACTAGGGAGTTGGAGACACTGATTAAAAGACTGAGAAGTTCATCTAAGGCAAGTAGATGACTATAACTTTTGATGTTTCTTCATTTCCAATCCTTCTGTTCTTGGTGCTAATCTTTCAATTGCTCAGGGTGTAAAGACTGATTACTCGGTAAAAATCCAAGAGTTACAGAAACAACTTGCACTTGACAGAGAAGAAGCAGAGAAGATTCAGGTGTGCACATTTGTTTACCCACGCGCAATGTGTATATCAAATTTACACTTCCATGACCTCTGAATAAATATAATAATGTCACTCTCCATGCTGAAGGCCGTACTTCCAACTCAAGTGTAACATGCACATGCACAATGCATGAGTTCATGTATGATTAGTAATCTCGTTCAAAAATCAAATTGTTGAAATTTGTGCTTGTGCATTTCTATTTGTGGAAATTCCTTGATATGAACATCATTTCACTGTTCTAAAAGTTTATATCAAAACCTAGACCTATTACAAGCTTTGTTGTACACACATGCCTAATTTATGTGTCAAACAAAAGAGTAAGGTGCTGTCCATCCTGTATGACAGCAGAAGCAACTACTAATGCTAATGAAGGTGATGATTCAACATAGGGATTACATGTTCATCACCACATGCTTGGAAATGTATTGTAATTTATGAAGCATTGTGTCTTGCAGTTTTAATAAATGAGGTGCAGCCATGCAGCTTCCATATACCAAATTCTCATTCATTTATGTATCTTTGACTTAGAGAAGAAACTGCCAAAAAACAAAAACAATTCCCCTAGAGGGGAACTCATTTATGTATTTCGATCATAAATGAAACGTAGCACATAATTTAATATTTGTTGTTTAGTTGTACTTGTTAAGAGCTCTTCAGCATATCCCAGTTAATGTGTCCAATCAACTTGTATTTTCATCTTTCCTGAACATGTTTTCTCTTATTAGGATGATCGCGATAATTTCTTAAATCTAGCTCTTCAAGGCTACCAACGTTCCATTGTTGTTGGTGGCAAATATGACCTACAAGTGGTATGTGATTTGTATTTGGGTATCCATATTCCATACATCTCTTGCTAACTGTTGCTACACTTTTTTTTTGTCTAACCCTATTATATTTTTGTTGGGACCTAATTTTATTTTATTTACATTACATTAACATTTGCTCTTCAGGTTTTCCGGTTGGTCTCGCTGTGGTTTAGTCTTTTCTCAAGGGATCAAGTTGTGAAAGCAATGTTGAAAACAACAAAAGAGGTTTTCCTTTTTACTTTCATTTCTGGATCGCATTGGTACTTTAGTCAGTTTCATTAAATGTGGTATTTCAATTTTGTTGTGTAGGTCCAAACCTACAAGTTCATACCACTGGTTTATCAAATTGCTTCGAGACTTGGGAGCTCCAAAGATGCTCAGGGGTCAACTAACTTCCAGGTACATGTATCATTTTATCTTGTTTTTTCTGTAGATTGATAATGTTAAGGGTATTGCTTTCACGTTGCATTTAAGAGGGGGTGTTAAGGGTATTAGTGTAATCTCCCTAGTCTAGGGTTTTCCTCTTGTGTCTCCTATGTACTCTATATATAGTCCCCATTGGGCCTCAATAGAATCATCCAGTTCAGTCTCCCTTTATTTGTAACAGATAGAACAATGCAGCTCTGGTATCCTGGGGTGCGGGCATCCTCATTAGCCAGAAATACCATGTTGGAATGTTTCAAAAAAAATCAGCCCATAATCATGTACATAGTATACATAAAGTATAGCTGCAACAAGTCAGAAACAAAATACTTAACTTGATTTTATGATGGTTTTAAAAAATGGCAGCATTATTGATTTTCTGTAACAATATTGGTTTTCTGTGGCAGATTGCATTAGCTTCTCTTTTGAAGAAAATGGCTGTTGATCACCCATATCATACAATATTCCAGGTAATATAGTTGTTGATCTTACATGCATATGGAAAAATCATGATCAAATACAACTTCCATGTTTTTACACTTCTTTGTTTACTAATTGCATTTGTCAATAGTATTAACAACTAATGCTAAGAGCAAATATAGTTTACGAAAAGCACTGTGTCTCAAACTTATACACATCTCAGCTTGGTTGAACTGTATCCATAGATATTTTATTAGTAGAGGGATAAGGCAGCAGAAAATAGTCATACGTGAGCCAAGGATCTGACTGAAATATTCAGAGTGCACATCTCAGCTTAGATCTAACATAATGTCCCCAGTAAGTCTAGTTTATGCATGTCAAGGCAATTTCAGTCTCTCTTAATCTCAGATTTCAGATTTTTCTTCCTGTTTTTTAGAACTAAGAAATAATTATTTTGTTTGTTTTCAGCTTTTGGCTCTAGCAAATGGTGATCGTGTCAAAGACAAGCAAAGAAGTAGAAGTTCTTTTGTTGTAGATATGGAGAAGAAGCTTGCTGCTGAAAATTTGTTAAAGGAGCTATCTTCCTGTCATGGACCTCTAATTCGTCAGGTTCTGCTTAAAATTCTATTCAGATGTTCTTATCTCTGAAGGGGATCAAATGTATTTTCTGTTATAATTTTTATGATCCTTATTTGGACATCTTATAGATGAAACAAATGGTTGAGATCTACATTAAGTTAGCAGAACTGGAGACCAAGAAGGAGGTTGGTTCACTTTTCAAGCAGGAACATGGATTTTTTTTTTTTTTTGTATTCTCAATGTTAACATAATCTTTTCATCTAACTTATTGTCAGGACACTAACAAAAAAATTCCACTGCCCAGGGAGGCCCGCAGCATTGGTCAGCTTGAACTAGTGAGATAACATCTTGCAAACTTACTTTCATGAACTTGTTTGTGCTTCGGTAATCATTGGAGATAAAGCCATCTTTTGCTAGAGTGGTGCCCAGGGTGGGGGGACATGGGCTGCACAGGGCTTTCTCTAAATCTTGCTTGCTTAATAACTTCCATGGAGGAGAGCCAGTGGCATGCTAAAAAAACTCGACCTGCAGAGGAAAGAACAATCCCCAATCAACTAGCCATCTCAAGTAGAAACATGATATAGTAATAAAAAATGCTTGATTTGACATGTTCAAACCATCTCAAGTGATATCAAAAGAACTATTCAATCGGTGGAAAACAGTTTGAATAAAATAAATGAAAATATGCTTAAATGAAAAACGTAGCCAGAGTTTATTGTCTATTTATTATGTTCCATTTCTTTTATCTTCTTTCGTTGTTTGTATGCCTATTAATCAATTTTCAAATACTTAGACTCGTCATTTTTTCTTCTTTTCCCTTTGACTTCATCAGGTTCCAGTTGTGACTGCTACTGTTCCTGTTGATCCTAGCTGTCGTTATGAAGAAGGCTCCTTTCCACATTTCACTGGGTTGGCTGACTCTGTTATGTAAGTTGGATCTTTAGTTTTACACATTACTTGCTACTTGCTCCTGAAGATTGTGTTTCTCATATTTTTAGTGTTGTGGCCATTCTCTTGGCAGGATCATGAATGGAATTAATGCTCCCAAAGTTATAGAATGTTTTGGTTCAGATGGTAACAAATACCGCCAACTTGCAAAATCTGGAAATGATGACCTGCGACAGGATGCTGTATGTTCTTCTCTTCCATTTTAATAGCTAGATTTATATGATTATTTGGCATAATGATTTTGAAAGCTTGCTCTACCTACTATAGAGAATGTTCTAGTTGCACCTTTTTATCCTTTTTGCAAACATGGAACTATGTAGTTTCGTTTTCAACCTTCTATAACAAGAGTTTTACAGAAATATTCCATATTTTATTATTATTTCTAATCGTTTGGCTGTACTGCCACAGATATTGTTGTCTTCATTAGTATTACTTATAGGTACATTGGCATTAATGCAGCTAGTATACACCTCTAATTTCTAGCTGCAACCACTATTGAGTATAGAGTACAAATGCTTGCGTGCTAAACTAGTATTTAATCTTATTATAGGTAAATAGTTTTATAGTTCCCAATGATAACTTTTATTAAAGGTGTTTTGTTACACTCTAAGCCACATGTCCTATTTAGTTGCACCAAGTTTGCTTATTCTTCTCTTCCCTGTAATGTTATCTTCCTCTAAAAGAATGCTATCTGATAATTTTCCCTAGAAGAATCTCAGTTGAGTTATTAGAAGAGAATCTATTGTGTGCAACTTATATTTTGGGATGAATTTTTAACATCAATATGACATTTGCAGGTGATGGAGCAATTTTTTAGTTTGGTAAATACATTCTTGCAAAATCACCGAGATACTTCTGAAAGGAGATTGAGAATCCGTACATATAAGGTAGCGGTGAATGCCATAAATTTGATAAACTCCTCTATATCTGGCTCTTGAAATATTGTTTGTCATAAATTTCATCATTCTTTAGTGTGCCATTAAATTTATTAGTATTGTTATTCCCAAAATGTATAAGCACATTAGGAAGTGCACTTGTGAAGGACTCACCGCTGGTGGCCTTGTTCTTTTGTACCACATAAGTAGGGGAGGTACCTACTGAATTAAATATATCAAGAAAAATATTTAGTAAGGAACTGATCCGCTCAATTGGTTGTGGTGTGGATGTACGCCAGACCATCCAAGTTCGAGTCCTCGTCGAGGCGAATTTGGGTGCCTATTTCTTCTCCACCTAGTTTCTCCTAGGTTGGTCAAGTTTTTTAAAAAGAAAAAATATTGCTATTTTTATTTTAATCCAATGTTTATAAGTGACTCCTCCCTATAACATCTTTTGTCGCAGCATGAACCTTATCCTTGCAAAATGGGCTGCCACACCAAGGCCCTTGGTGTGGCCAAATGGGCAACCACGCCAAGACCCTTGGCATTGTAGCCCAATCTTGCCATGCCAAGGCTCTAAAATGTTTTTTTAATAGATGGGGAGGACTTTCTAAACATTAGATTAGAAAGAGTTAAAAAATGAAGATTATTTTATTGCTGCCCACTCTCCCCTCGTTCAACAATAGTTTCTGAGCTTTCTTTCTATTACTTCCACAATTTTAACTTCTAGCTTCTGATTTGCATTTTTTCCATTTAATTTATTTTCTGTGGCATCTTATCTTCCTGGTATACAACAACAACAACAACAAAGCCTTTAAGTCCCAAACAAGTTGGGGTAGGCTAGAGTTGAAACCCAGCAGAAGCAATCAAGGTTCACACACGTGAATAGCTGTTTTCCAAGCACTCCTATTTAAGGCTAAGTCTTTGGGTATATTCCATCCTTTCAAGTCTCCTTTTATTGCCTCTACCCAAGTCAACTTCGGTCTTCCTCTGCCTCTCTTCACATTATCTTCCTGGTATAGATTTAGCATAATGCTAGGTAGGCAGCCACTACCTATGAATCTGTAGCCTGTTCAGGACAATTAGAATAAATGTATAAGGGCACCACTTCTACGTAATGGAACTTGTAATGTTGGGAAAACCTCATGAATCATACATTCATACACAACCATATTGCCATGCTCATTTTGAATGTTGTGACAAATTTCTGACTACTTTCTCAACTCAGGTTGTTCCTTTCACCCCAAGTGCTGGTGTTGTTGAATGGGTAAATGGTACTGTTCCACTTGGTGATTATCTAATTGGGAGGTCTCTGTATACATGATCTCAGTTTTTATATGTAAATTATATTCTGAATATTCTGAATTTTTCATATTTATTTGCCTTTTTCTTGGGGTTATACAGTACTAGAACTGGTGGAGCACATGGACGATATGGAATTGGGGACTGGACATATCTTCAATGCAGAGAGTACTTGATGAGTGTATGTCCACGTGTTGTAGAGGTTTTGTATTCTATTTTTTCTAATAGAGTGATGAATGTATTTCCAATTTGAAGGAATTATATTTTGTAGGAAAAGGACAAAAGGAGGGCATTTCTTAAAATCTGCGACAACTTTAGGTCTTTCTTGATCTCTACTTCCATTTGCCAATGATCCAACATGTACATACATGCATGATGCGTCCATGACAATCATATCTAGTGTTTCTCTAACTATTATTTTTCCCTTTTTTCTACAATAACCAGGCCTGTGATGCACCACTTCTTTCTTGAGAGATTCTTGCTGCCTGCAGATTGGTTCCAAAGTAGACTTGCTTACACAAGGAGTGTAGCAGCAAGCTCGATGGTAATTTCTTTTAGTAGTCTTAAGTGCGACTTGAGTCATTGTCTGGAGCTACACAGACTACTGAGACTTACTGTATGTTGCCTATTGTTTTTCATGGATTCAGGTAGGATATATCGTCGGTCTTGGGGATCGCCATTCCATGAATATTCTCATCGACCAAGATACAGCTGAGGTTGTACACATTGATCTTGGTGTTGCATTTGAACAGGGTCTCATGCTTAAAACACCTGAGCGGGTATGTGATGGAACATCACATTCTATGTTCCTGAACTTCTGTGAATATCAATTGCCAGTTCTTCCTTTGTAAAACACTTTTTTTTTGGCTCTACTTGTAGGTTCCATTTCGGTTGACAAGGGATATTATAGATGGCATGGGTGTTACTGGTGTTGAAGGTGTGTTCAGAAGATGTTGTGAGAAAACTCTCTCTGTCATGAGGGCAAATAAAGAAGCATTGCTCACTATTATTGAAGTATGTATACTGTCAAATATTCTCCATAATTTTAAGAGACTTCAATACTTTAGCTCCTCCTGAGACTGGACCGAATGTGTCAGGTTTTCGTTCATGATCCTCTATATAAATGGGCACTCTCACCACTGAAAGCCTTACAGCGTCAAAAGGTAACTACAAACATTTGCTTTAAGTTATTTTCTTCATAGCACATCTTGGTCCATACAACTGAAATTGCTGGTATGCCTGTTAGGACTTGACAGGTAACGAGTGCCACCAGTAGCAGCCAGTATTATGGATGTGTTGCTTTCTTCTCACCAAATGTACTCACACATGCTAAGCGAATTTAAAGACCTGATAAACAACAACAATATCCCTTTTTGTCATAATATGCAAGTTTAGGCTAGGCTAAAGGACCCGATCTGACTACAAAAATGGAAATGCAGTGGTCGTTGACCATACTGTTGAACATAGATATACTGTACGTAGAATTCTCCTGCTGGCAACCCTTTAAACCTTTTTTTTTTTTTTTTGCAGGAAACAGATGATACTGATTCATGTTTGGATGACTCCCAAGAGGCTTATGAGGGCAATAAGGATGCAGCTCGTGCTATACTCCGTGTTAAGCAGAAGTTGGATGGATATGAAGATGGCGAGATGAGAAGTGTGCAGGGCCAGGTTTTATCTTCGTTATACTGAAGCATTAAGATCTTTATAAATTTATTATTTATACTTCTGTTACAAAAGTCAAGTTTATCTTTATGTTTGCCTTTTAGGTCCAACAACTCATACAGGACGCTGCGGATGTTGATCGGTTGTGCCAAATGTTTCCAGGGTGGGGACCTTGGTTGTAAGCTCCATTGAAATGGATGTAAATTTTGATCGAAGGCAAGAGCAACTTTTTTTTGTTGTTGCTTGTGAGGTTTTACTCCTTTGGGGTGTTTTTCTCCTCACCACCATTGTCAACATTCCTACAAGGTACGGCTTAATCGCCTTTGGTACCCTGTACATTGATGGGAGGGCAAGGGTGACGTTTGGATGCAGGTGGGTTGTACCACTCATGAGTCTGATTAGGGGTGAAAACGGTACGGATATTTTCTGATCGTATTCGAGACCAAATCCGTTTAAAGAGGTTCAGATCTGTTCGTATCCGAGTTCGGACATTCAATATCCGATACCGTATCTGTATCCGAATACTTAAATCGTATGTTTATGATGTTGATATCCAATTGTATTCTATTCGGCATGATTGACACTATCCGTATTTGAATTCGAATCCAGACAGAAATATGAAAACAAATGTAATATCACTGGTATCTGTCCGTATCCGATCCGTTTTTATCCCTAGTCCTAATAGCTGTTTTAGATCCTAGGGTCAAGTCGTTGAGACTACGGACAATGGGTGATAGCATGGTGAGGCCACAGTTTTTTCTTTTTTTGTTAAACTTCGTTAATTGGAAGGCTGGCCAGAGGGGCGGCATCGCAGACACCACACATCGAGCAGCTTACATACAGCTGCTTCGATGGTTGGATGCCGTAGATTTTTTGTTCAGGAGTACTTTGTAAAGACTTGAGGCTGTCTTGTCATGTATATATAAAGGGCTTGTTTTTGTAACAGAACCGTTCAATGTATAAGAGCACAAGTACAATAGCCACCATCGAGGCAGTCAAACTATCATACCTGAGTCCATATAAATCCGGTAATCCATTAAGTATCACGAAAGATCTCGAATCAACCAACACACAAGCCAAGATCGTACATGATTCAATATACAAGCAACATGTTACAACAAGTTCATAAATAGTTTGTCATACATTGGAGTTCTATCACAGTTGTTACAATAATAGTTTAACAGTAGCGGAAGCAATATAGTTCTGAACGACATCAACAGTAGTTTAGATACATAGCCAGTTTTCAGTCATCTTCAACCAAAAGCACAAGGGTGAGATGATATATAGAATAACCATGCCCATGGTCTTATTCCTCATCCACTGCAGGAGCAAAACAGTGCTTACAGTAGCTGTGGTACATCATGTTATCTGCAACAATAGGGAAATAAACCCTGAGTATGAGAAGGTACTCAGTTAGACTTACCCGTCATAAACCAAAAATAAGAGAGACAAAAGATCATGCAAGGCTTATAAGTGGAGCTGGTTGACATCATTTGCCTACAAGTTAATATTTATCTAGTATCTTTTAACTTTGAAATAACAAGTTTATTATTCATGTCCCATTCTAGATTAGCATCTATCCTATGCCAAACATGTTGTGTACCATTAAATCATCACAATAGTAACCATATCAAGTTGAGCATTTCCATAATCCGCATAACCATTACTTTCATCAATTACTACGATGAAGGGGGCTCATGTCAAGTTCTCACTATCCGGGAGAGACGGTAATTCGAATCGATTCCTACCCAGCTGGGGAATTATTCCTAACACACCCATACTCCCCCCGTCAGGGTCGCATCGGGTCACCTTTGGTATAACTCAGGTCCAAATCGCCGGTAAGACCAGCGCCGCACCCTCAAAGATACTACCAATCTATCAGGAAGCTCGGGACTCGAACCCGCCCTTGGACTCACGTCATTGGCTCTCCGTACATCCTTACTGCCTCTAGGGTGCGCACTTTAACTGCTCATGTCCCCGGCCTGAGTTGAGCTACTCGGCTTCACGATCGGAACGACTTATCCGACCAACTATGTGAGAGGCATGCGTTCAACATGACAAGAGGGCCTCCAACGGCCAGTCCTTAAATGACAGACATAATCACTATAAGTCACCACACCTAACATATAAAATTTCATCCGGTCTCCACTTGTTCAACATCACCAGGTTATGTTCCATGATAGCACAATATAGCCAACCGTGATCAAGTCACCACCTATAGCTCGCAGGTGACAAAAAATCACCCGACTTCTACCAGTCTAAGCATGACTAAGAATAAAGGTCGATCCTGGACCTACATAGGATTCAAGATAGATATTTCTGGACAAGGAAAGTATATGCAGCAAGTGGTTCTAATCAACTCCTAGTACTTAATGCATTAACATAAAAAGGACTCAAGTTGGTATTAGAACACATAGTGTTTACACCAAAATTTGGGAGAAGAGTGCGGGAACTCGCAGGCTTCCAGAATTATGCCAATCAAGGAGTCGATAGAGTAATGATTGATATCTGCTGGATCGAATGCGACACTGGATCGATTCTCTCCGAATGACGTCAGCAGATAACGATGACAGGATATGATTGGCGCTAAGAAGATACATATCGGACTCTACAGAAAGGGAAAGATTAGAGCCCAAGTTATTTTAAATTAGTAATTTTTTCTTTAGGGTCAAAAATTGTGATGAGTCGTGCTTAGATAGGAGTCGTGCGCAGGTCCTAGGTATAAATATCAAGCCCCAGCTATTGTAAAGACACAATCAATCAAATACAAGTCAATTACTTTTTTCGGCTCCGGCCACCCCTTAGGAGTAGGAGAGTAGAGTAGATCTCGGTGAGTTCTTGACAGAAATGCGGTGTTTATGTCGATCCGATCGACCTCCCTTCATCAAGACGTAAGTATCGTCATGGTTTATACCTGCATAGTCCGTATATGCGCATCGATCCGATTGAGAGGAGATCACTGCGACTAGTCGGTATATCATAAGAATAATTATCGACTCTTGTCTAATTCAAGTATGAATGTGATTATCATTCGTGATAAATATTATTTAAGCAAATTAATCAATGGCAATCAAGATATCAATGATGATTGGTTTATATCGAGCCAATGACCTTAGTATGGCGGTCTTTGGTAGATTCATTAAGTTTAACCATTTAATAAAGATAAATCTAATGAACATATTGCTTATTGGTTTCATCGTTTATCTAATTATGAGGACAATATCACTATCACTCTGTCAGATTGAGATTGATAGACTCAATGACCCTATATCTTATTTAATATCATCGTTTGCTAATCTCTAAAATTGATCTAATCTACATCTTAAGCGATGGGGAGTAATATATTTTCAACTTATCTTACATCAATCATAATGTGAATCGTGCATGAAAGCGTGCGGTTAAAGCATGTTCGATCTGCAGTAGATCAATTAGTTAATGAAATGCGTTCTCATGGCCCGTCATCATGGCAACTGGGATTACCACTCTCACCACTTTGTTGGCAAAGTGGAGTGGGGAGGCGTTAGTTGATAGACCGTGATGATGGGCATGAACCTTAACTATTAACTAAGATGATCTACTCGAGATCGAGCATGCCTTCACAAACCGCACATATGCACGAGAAGATTGAAGTAGAGATAAGTTGAAAGATATAACCCATCGCTTAAGATGTGTATTAGATGCATGATTTTAGATTAGCAAACGATAAGTTAAATAATGAGTTAGGGTAAATCGAGATTAATTCAATTTCTCTGGCTGCATGATATTCCTATAATTAGATAAATAATGGTCAAAGCAATAGATGAGATCTAACATGTTAATGAATTTATCCAATTAAATGCCATTAAGTAGAGTTGAATTGACCTTGATCTAATATAAAAAAAGGAGAGGCGGTTACTTGCTATACTTGAATTAGACAAGAGTATATAACCGATCATCATTGATATCTTATTGCCATTGATTAACATTTGATTATGCAAATGCATATTTAATAGAGGTATAAACCATGATGGTACTTTATACAAGCAATTGAGGCTCGAGTCGATTTATTCTTATGAATATCTTTGAAATCGACTATTTGGTTGATCTCCTCTCGAGATCTACTCTACCGCACCTACTCCTAAGGGGTGGCACGAGTCATAAAAAAGATAGCTTTTGACTTGTATTTGATTGATTGTGTCTCGGGGAGGATAGCGTGGGCTTGATATTTTAGCTAGGCGACTCCATCGGCGGACCCGCACTAATGTGCCTAACGCAGGCGTGCGACTCATCACAATTTTTGACCCTAAAGAAAAAATTACTAATTTAAGATAATTTGACTCTAATCTTTCCCTTTCTATAGAGTCCGATATGTATCTTCTTAGCGCCAATCATATCCTCGTCATCGTTATCATCGACGCTCATTCGGAGAGAATCGATCCAAAGGTCGCGATTCGATCCAACAGATATCAATCGTTACTCATATCCATCGACCTTTGATTGGCATAATTCGATAGAAGCCCAAGCTCACATAATTTCCGCCAATTTTTCTCCCTAAATTTTGGTGTAAACACATGCCCCCCAATTTTGGGATAAAATGATTTTATCCTGAAATTTCGGTTCACTGGTTTACCATGCCGCAATTGCACCATCCGAGATATACGCGTGACTCCTGACTCCCTGGCTCGAGTTCTATATAACATCCCAACACTATATCTTGCAACTTACTCGGCCTGTTTGCTTTCTCCTTTCTTCTTAAGCCAACTTCAAACAGCCGACGCCATCATCGCCGAGGCCTCAAACCCTAGCAGATCATCTGTTCCAACGAGCCGTCGTCCAAGCGATCCTCGCCAGATCCAAACCAATTTTTGGCCGCGATGGCGACCGTCGACCACGTCCCTGAGGTATATCTCCAAGTTTTCATTTTTTGAGTATTGGCCGCCACCCCATATCTTCTTTCTTCTTGAATTTATTTTATCCGATTTCTAGGAAATGAGGAACGAGATCTTGATTCCATCAGCTGCCGTCCCTAATGCTTACTTTCTCGGTCCTATGGGTGATTCTGATCCATCCGATTTTATCCGCCAAGAAACCAACCAGATCCCCTTTAAACAGTCTGTAGTAGATTCATCCTCCTAGAACAAAACTTCCTTTAGAAACTGGCCTAACACACCTAAGGGATGGAGAGATTAGTTCTGTAGGGTAT